TCAGTCGTGGTAATACATATAGCTCAGTTAGCCAGACGTATTGGTGGCCCAATTTGTACAAATGGGTGAGCACATATGTGCGTACATGTGAAACGTGTCAACGGGTAAAACGCTTAGCACATGCGGTTGCACCGCTTGATAGTTTTTCTTTAACCACTGGGTGTTGGGAGTCCATCAATATGGACTTTTTGTTTGACCTACGAAGAGTTTGGAAGGCAACAATGGTACTGTGATCTTTATTGAATGTTTGAGCAAGACGGCTCATTTGGCGGCTGTGCAAAAATCCATCGATGGTGAAGGTACAGATAAGCTCTTTGTCGACCGTGTGTTTTGTCAACACGGTTTTCCTGAGGCGATTGTCTTGGATCGTGATCTTTGTTTCACTGGCAAATTTTAGATTATCGCCTTCAGGGTGCCAGGCATCAGGTTGGACATGTCCACGGCGAATAATTTGCATACTGATGGTCAAACTGAGCGTGCAAACCGTGTCATTGTCAGTAATATGTTGCGCAGAGTTTGTGCTGGCACGCTTAGGTGTTACAGCTCGATTCTTTTTGTGGTTGAGCTTGGTTAAACAATGTTGTTTAGGCCTCTACCAGTCACGGGGATCAACAATTTCTTTGTGAACGTCTCCTGCAGCAACGTCGTCGCGACGGTCAGTATCAGTGCTTGGCGTAGTGAAGGGTATTATCGGAGTCGGAAAACTCATGGGAGTACGAAGTGCCACTGCGGCAGGAATTTCTGTACACCGTTAACTTTTTTAAGCATTGTCTTCAGGTTCAGTCGAGCCATACCGCTTCCCATCAGCCGGTTTGGGAGTGGAGGAGGTTGCAACTGCAGCAGGTGCACTTATGCGCCGGTTTGTGGCTGCCGCAGCATGATAAGTGCGATAAAACGATCGCAGTTGGTTTTTAGCCTTTGTTTTGTGGAATTGAAATGCATCTTCCGTTCCAACCGAGCATCAGCATGTGAAGCGCTCTCTTGGAGAACCACAGGCTTGGCAGACGGCGAGTCTGTGAGCATAACGCGTGAAGACGACATCATTTTTACGCTTTTGTCTCACCAGGAAAGAGAATGACCGGTCTTTTCCACATGGCGGACACAGCTGCACCTAGGTCTTGCACATATAACCTGTCAACGTATTCTTGAGCGGTCATACATTTAACCCCCAAGTATCTCGCTCTGAGATCCTCTTTCTCTCATATTGCTGTGGCTGTAACAGTCCTGGGTCCCGTGATCCATGTTGCGACTGACTGCCCGGTAGTCTGACGAAAAAGTTAATGGACACTCGGTGGAGTAAAGCGGTAGCCACTGTGAGCATTCTTTGTATCTATATGTACTGCTTGACTCCTGTGGTTATCAACCGACTGAAAAATAATAAGCTTGATCTATTTCAAGTGTGTTGTGCAGCACACCCAACGGAAGGTCGACGGCGGCATGCTGTGCAAGGGGTGAATATACCATCTCGTGTTTCACGAACGATTAAAGCACGATGCGCGTCGTGTCATGCGCCGGTGGCGTAGCTGGAGGATGGTAGCAGATACGTGACGCGGCAGTGTCACTCTCATAGTAAATCACACTCTCTGAGAAATTCTTCAAGAGTGTTGGACGAAGGCTTTGACCCAGTCATTTTTAAGAGTGTTGTAAACAAGATGGTCAAGACCATAGCTTTGACAGACCTTAAGGCGAAGTAGAGGAATTGTCGTCTCAAGGGTGTCGACAGTTTGGTGAAGGATGGTGTAACGAAGTTAACCGCGTTTATTTGAACCAGTTATGTTGTGTGTTCACATCAATTAAATATCGGTGGGTCTGAGTGGTACAGTCTTGGTCCCACGTACTGATGGTAGTACCGCACATTATCGAGTAAGGATAAGTGATAAGACTTCTGTCATAGGATCACAATGCAGAAGTCAGTCAGGCAAAGTTTTAGGGTTGTATTACCGTAGCTAAATAATAAGTAGATCTCATTTTCCCTTCATAACCGTTGGACGCCAGTGCCTGGTCAAGGCATAGCGTGTTGTAAGAGTGTTAGCCTTGTGAAGGCGCTTACTCTTTTTTAGCTAGTAGTGAATAGTTAGTGTGTGATTCTGTGAATCGTAATCTCTTTGAAACCGGGATTGTTAAGCTTGTACGCTTGAACGACTGCACTTCGTTGTTAGTTTATCATAAACAAGAGACTCTTGAAGTCGAAGAATACCTCCATTGAAGAGCGCTAAGTGGCTCCGCTACACAAGCTTTCGACACATTGGTTGATGCTTTTGGCGACGCCAAGCCCTACACGATCTTTTACTGCTAGTGAAAGACTAGATTCTCTTTTAATGGGACGCCCTGATGGAGATCAGCTCCCTTGCTAACACCGATGACACTTCGTCAAGAAGCTGAGATGATAAACGCAACCTCTTCCCTATAAGATGATGTTAGTCAATAATCATCATAACTCTGATCGACGAGCAGATCGTAGGGGAGGTCGATGCATAGGATGAGCAGGAGGCAGGCTGTTGAGATGGCAAAAGAGGATGGAGACGATGACATTGATGACAAAGAGTCTTATTCTTTAATTTATCTGGAGGGTTCAGAGAGCGAAGTGATTGCCAGCCTCCAGAGGAAGACTGCTGCTGTTACTCTGGTTAAGGATATGTATCGCGTACTCCGCCAGTACAAGCGGTATTCCACGCCTAACAGGACCATTTTCATCTATCAAGTTATCCTCAAGGACTTCATACTTTGCAGCAAAGGAAAAGAATGTGTGCATAATCAGGTTACATACCTTATAGCATCCCTTTCCTCCGAGCACGGTTTTCCCACTAAAGTTTTATCCGGCTTCTAAGTATTTTGTTGAGTTAATCCTTTAGTTACGGGTTCTGTTATTTTGTTGCTTTAAATCATGTAAAAGGGTTGTACCGCAAGACCCCTTCAGGAAACTAAAGAAATTCAGCCTATAATATCTTTGCACCTTTCTCTTCGCGGAGCACGTCATTTTCGCGTTAAACATTCTCTACCTATAATATTCAAATTAAGGGTTATCAAAAAGGCATGTTAGAGAAGTAGCTGACTGTAGCGATGGTACGCAAGGTGAATACCGAACTTTGTAAGTCGTACTTACATATGTTTGTGTCTTACTGTCGGTAAATAACACACCTAGGTGTAACTTACACGTACTCAGTGTGAGATAGCCTGTCCCCTCCTCATGAGTCAACCGGTGTATTCAAAGTCACTCTTTGACGAGGTAATGATTGTGATCTATGCACGTGACTCGCATGTCATCAATCAAACATGAATGTGATCACATCAGCAAATGGTGGACCCTCATAAGCAAAGGCTGATGATCACGTTGCTCAAGTATGCTGCTCTAGGCTGAAACGAACATCAACAGCATCGTGCTCATTCTTCTGTAACTACTGTAGTGCAGTGTTTTGGAACCTGATTCAGTTCTCAATAACTTGATTACTAATTGCAAAGAGCGAGCTCCGGTTCTTGCTCCCATATCCTAATTCTATTTGAAGCCTTGTAGTTTGCTTGAACAAGGAAATTGAGGCTCATTGATTCATAAACTGATGTTTCTATGCTATTTGAAATTGATAGTGGTTAGTTTCAAGTTGTATAGATGAATACACTGAGACCTCGTAATTCAAATCCTCAAATTTTATTGAAGATAGAAGGCTTATTGGCGAAGATGGAGTGCGCAGTGATAGCTCCTATTCGTATAAGAGAAATAGGTAAAATGTCTATAGCTCAAAAATCATTTGAAACTGCTCAAAGTCATTGATACGAGTTTTCTAATCTTTCTACACCCAACCCGAAAGAAGAAACTGACTATCTCTGTTGTTGGTATGAAACATTGCGCAAACTAAAAGGGAAGCAAATTGCAAACTTCGACCCTTTTAGCTCTACCAATCGACTTATTGATTTTATACCGCTTCGCATTTGGTCGTCGTTTAATGCCACTCTAATCAGCTTTTTATACGTAGCGCAACAAACACGGTAAGAAACTTGCATCAAACCGAGCCTCTTGTGGATTCGAGAAACTGTCACGAGTTACATCGGCAAATGCAAATTATGGTGGGATATTATGCGTTCGTTTGTGCATGTCGCATGAAGAAATAGCAAGAAAATCGTGTTGCTAGCCGTTTATGATATTAAACAGCTCGTCTGGTTTCAGTTCTGGCCTTTCAGATAAAAAGCAAGAGATATTATTGCGTTGGAACAATACAAATCATGCCATCCAGTTTAGCCATCCCGTTGCAATTGAAGCATTGCTGCAAACCACGACAACAAGTCGGCCAGACGTGAAACTCGTTACCAAGGTATACGTAAAAAAACTGTGATGAGTAAATGCAATTATTTCGTTCGCAGATCATGCCGATGCTGCATGTCTATAACTGTCGTTGCTGTCGTTGCATATGGTACAAATTTCAGAAAGCGGTATAGATTTGATATAGAGGTGTTAGAATTAACTAGGTTGTGGAGCTGATGCTATGAAGAAGATGGCTTACGGCCGGGGATGAAAACCGAAAAGTGAGTTGTATTCAAATTGTTTCTAGCTTCGAAAACGAATGGCTAGTAGTAGCCGGTGGCTCTCAGACATCTATTTCGTGCCCTGTCTCCACCGCTTTCTGTTTTACCTATCACTGGGTAATTACGTCTCGTAAATACCTTTCGTAAAAACTCTGCTGTGTCATATGCAGAATGAAAACGATTGCGTGGGTGGGGGACGTAACTGCGGGCGGGTCAAAGTTCTGGTGAACCCCAAACACCCGGTCGTAAGTGTCAGTCACGTTTAACTTGTTCACGGCGGGGATCGAACCCGCACTCACCCGCGTGGAATCCCCCTTCCCAAACGACTGAGCCAATCCGACGAATTGTCGTTTCGCTGACATTGCACAATATAAAGCTGCCAAAGAACAATACAACTAATGCAAACATGCAATATACACCCTGCACAAGTCGCCGCATCATCACTCGCTAACACTCTCCCTTGATGTGCGTGCGACGTGTGCGCCCTACACCGCCATGCACAGACCCGTGATGAACTTGCTGTGCTTGTCTCTTGGAAGTGCCTTGGTGAACCCATCTGCGACCATTTCTTTCGTCGGCTTGAACTCGAGCGCGATAACTGCACTTGCAACCTTTTTACGCAAAAAGTGAAACTTGATGTCGATGTGCTTCATGCGCGAGTGGTACACAGGATTCTTGGCCAGCGCGATGCATCCTTGATTGTCTTGAAAGATCGTCGTCGCGTTCTTGGCACATTAGTTCAGGTCCTTGAGCAGACCTCGAAGCCAAATTGCTTCCTGCGTCGCGCTGTACAGACTCATGTACTCTGCTTCCTTACTTGAGGTGTCGACCGTTGGTTGACGCTTCGAATTCCACGATATCACGCTTCCGTTCAGGAAGAAAACGTATCCTGTTGTCGAACGCCGCGTGTCGAGGTCGCCAGCCCAGTTTGCATCCGCGAATCCGATCAGCTCTCCCTTGTTGATGCCGCTGAAAACGATGCTTAAGTCTTGAGTCGTCTTGAGATACTTGAGAATCCGCTTTGCTGCTGTCCAATGCGACTTGTCGTAGCGCTCGCAAAACTTCGCAACTTCGCCAACCGCATGCGCAATGTCCGGTCGTGTAGATGTGGCGATGTACATTAAAGCGCCCACCAGCTCACAGTATGGGTACTTTGATACAAACGCTTCCTCTTGACCCATCTTGATCAGCTTCGAGTTACTGTCCGCCGGCGTGTGCACGTCCTTGCAGTTCTCAACGCCGAACTTCTCCGAAAGTCGCTTGATGTACGCCTTCTGGTTCATCTTGATAGTTCCATCTTCGTGCTTGCGATGAATCTCGATCCCGAGGCAGTACTTAAGATCTCCAAGATCTTTAATGCTGAAATCTTCCATCAAAGAGTTCTTGATACTTGCGATGTGCTCCTTCGTCTTGCAGAAAATCATCAAGTCGTCCACGTAGATCACGATGATGCTGTACTCCTCTCTTGTCACTCGAACGAACACACACGGGTCCGCTGCACTGCTCTTGAACCCTTGATCATCCAAGTGCTGACTCAACTTGTTGTTCCACTGCCGCGCCGCTTGCTTCGTCCCGTATAGCGCCTTCTGCAGAAAACAATTCTTTTTCGGGCTTCCTTCATCTTCAAAACCGTCAGGTTGGTCCATGTAGATCTCCTCTTTCACTTCGCCATAGAGAAACGCTGTGTCAACATCAACGTTTTCTGCTTCCAGGTCTTCACCTGCAGCGATCGCCAACACTGTGTTGATTGATTCCTTGCGCGCCACTGATGCAAAGGTCTCGTTGTAGTCGATGCCAGGAAGCTGTGTAAACCCTTTAGCAACCAAGCGTGCCTTGAACTTGATGATCTTCCTACTTGGATCGCGTTTAATCTTGAAACCCCACTTGCAGCCTACGGCCTTACTGCCCTGTGGCATGTCCACAAGCTTCCATGTGCTGTGTTCTTCAAGCGACTTCATCTCGCTCTTCATTGCCTGTAGCCACTGCTCCTTGTAGCTGCTCTTCATTACTTCTTGATAGCTGGACGCTTGTTTCCCATCTTCTTCAGCCGAGAAACAGTAGAAAGAGTCGAAGTCACCTTCGTAGTCGTCCAAATTGAAGTGACCGTGACGATGACTTGGAAATTCTTGTCCGTAGCGAACCACGCCGCGCTTCTTCCGAACCGGTCGCACCATCCACTCTTCCTCTCCATTTCTTCCGGGTGTGCTGGATGCGCGCGTAGGAATGGTGTCGCTTGGTCGATCACTTGGTCCGTGATGAGAGCTGTTCTGCGCTCGAAGTGGTGGGGTGCGCAGCTCTTCTTCGGTCACCGGCGCTGGTATGTCTTCATTATCGGGTAGCGACGCCTCCACACTTTACTCTTCTTCAATGACATCGAAGACCCGCGTGTCTCTGCTTTTCGTTGTTTTCGAGACAGAATGCTCAGCGAACGTGACGCTTCTTGAAATCACGATTGAGCCATCGTCCGCGTTAAGAAGCCGATACGCCTTTTGGTCCTTCGCATAGCCGAGAAAGAAACATCGCACGCCTGAGTGGTCCAGCTTCTTCCTCTTCTCCTTCGCCACATGCGCATAGCATTGCGCACCAAACACGCGCATGTGATCGATGCGCGGAACCTTCTTGAAAAACATCTCGTGTGGGCTTGAATTCTTGTTCGACGCGTTCGGCAGAATGTTTCTGATGTCTGCCGCAGTCATCAGTGCCTCGCACCAGTACGACTTGTCGAGGCCGCTTTCCTTGAGCATACAGCGCGTCATCTCCACCAGCGTGCGGTTCATCCGCTCCGCCATCCCGTTCTGCTCTAGGTTATACGGAACCGTGAACTCTTGCTTGATGAACTTTGCCTTGCAAAAGTTGTTCATCGTTGCGTTCCGGTATTCGCCGCCGTTGTCACTTCGCAACGTTTTTATCATCGTTCCAGATGCTGTCTTGACATCTTGGTAAAACCGCTTGAACGCACTCGCAACGTCGCTCTTCTTTCGCAACGGATAGACCGTTACATACCTGCTCTTCATCATGATGAAGGTTACGGCGTAACTGAAACAAGACTTGGACGCTGGCGTGATAGGTCCAAGAACGTCGGAGCACACCACCACGTCGGAACGCGAACTCTCCCTGGTTTCAGCGTCTTCTTCACTTGTCTTAAATGACTTGCGCACTTGCTTTGACGTTGCGCATACGTCACACGCAACATTCGTCTTCATCGTTGCGCCCTTGATCCTTCCGTCCTTGACCATGGCATTCAGCGTACCATACGACACGTGACCCAGTCTTCTATGCCATAGCTCTGTATCGTCTTCGGCCATGTGGCACTCCGTACCATAGTCAGCATTGAGATACAGGAGGAACCCCTGCTTCCTTCCTGTTGCGACGGGTGTGCCGCCACGCTTCACCACGCACTCGTTGCGCGTTATCTCCACTGTCATGCCGCGCGCTGCCGCAGCCGTGAGCAAAAACAGGTTCTTGGACAAATCTTGAACGTGAAGTGTGTTCTCAAGGCGAGCGTCGATCCACGCATGCCCTGTCCAGACGCGCAGCTTCACTGTCCCATGTCCATTGACGTTCAGCTTCACATCGCTCTTTGCGCTTGAAATACTGCGCGCATGATGCACTTCTTCGTAATATTCGAACGCATCTCGATCCTTGCACATGTGTGCTGACGCGCCACTGTCCATGACCCAGCTGTCGCTCGCGAAACCTTCGCAAGCATTAAACGCGACATTCGACTGGTCAGGCTGGTGCTCCCTTGGCCCTCGACCGGAGCGACAATCTCTGGCGTAGTGTCCGACCTTGCCACAGTTGTAGCAGGTCCCTGATGGTCCCTTCGCGCGCCGTACTTGTTGCTTCTTCGGGTACTGCTTACCCTTCCTCTTGCCTGCGTAGAGAGCCGTTGCATCTTCTACTCGAGCAGCCTCATTCTGGCGCACTTCTTCGGCGATCAACTTGCTCACGAGGATACTGAAACTGAAGCTTGCGACGGACATGCGGAATGCCTGTACCAAGCTCTCGAAGCTTGAAGGTAGACTCCGCAACAGTACTGCGCACACGTCCTCTTCACTTGGACCGCAGTTCGCGCGCTTCATCTTCATCACGAGGTCCTCCAGCTCCATCACATGACCGCTCATGCTTGATGCTGCATACTTGAACGACGCGAATTTTTCCTTTGGCCAAAGTCGATTCGCCATGTCATGACTGTGATGAAATCGCGCCAAACGTCCCCACGCTTCTCTTGCGGTGGCCGAGTCGATGACATGCATCAACTGTGAATCGCTCAGATTCAGCACGATCGCGGCGTGGGCTTGCTGTTCCTTGGCCTCACTTGTTGTCTCATCGCCCGCGATCGCGCCCCACAGCCCCTTCGACATCAGGTACATCTTCATCTTGTAACTCCACAACCCATAGTTCGAGCCGTCGAAAGGCTCGACCTTGAAACCGGAGTCGTTCTTTGGGCTCATAACCTGTTAGAATTAGCTAGGTTGTGGAGCTGATGCTATGAAGAAGATGGCTTACGGCCGGGGATGAAAACCGAAAAGTGAGTTGTATTCAAATTGTTTCTAGCTTCGAAAACGAATGGCTAGTAGTAGCCGGTGGCTCTCAGCCATCTATTTCGTGCCCTGTCTCCACCGCTTTCTGTTTTACCTATCACTGGGTAATTACGTCTCGTAAATACCTTTCGTAAAAACTCTGCTGTGTCATATGCAGAATGAAAACGATTGCGTGGGTGGGGGACGTAACTGCGGGCGGGTCACAGTTCTGGTGAACCCCAAACACCCGGTCGTAAGTGTCAGTCACGTTTAACTTGTTCACGGCGGGGATCGAACCCGCACTCACCCGCGTGGAATCCCCCTTCCCAAACGACTGAGCCAATCCGATGAATTGTCGTTTCGCTGACATTGCACAATATAAAGCTGCCAAAGAACAATACAACTAATGCAAACATGCAATATACACCCTGCACAAGTCGCCGCATCATCACTCGCTAACAAGAGGAGCATTTAAATTCTATCATGGCAGCAAAAACAATGATGGAATAGGGACACCCTACTTACTTCGATCTGATCGTACCTATTTCCAAGCCACTCCATACTCATTTTCGACTTCAGCGAAATCATCCTACTAAATATTTTAGTCACTGCGACCTCTCCTGCTGTACCACTTGTATTAATTAACTAATTATTGCCGATATGTCTAATGCCACAGACCAAAGAGTTTCTCCGTCTACGTCGCCTCATTGCCACCTACTGCTAGAGCGAGTGAGTCAATTTTGCTCTTCAGGCCATTCAATTGGACTTCATCTTGATACTTACTGGCTAACAATTTGATCTGCATGCGCCAAAACTGTAGCGAAGCTACCTTTTCTCCTTTGTCAAAAAACATACTTTTCCAGAATTAGCGCGACTTAACCTTAAGCATCAGAGCAAGCTCGTAATCTTTTAGTCCTGGTTCAAAGGACTAAAAAGGTTTCAAGGAACCACGTGACCCTAATACCCAAGAGTACTTAGCCTCAATACAGGATTCGAATTGTTACGGTCAAAGACTTCTTAGCTAGACATGGGTCTGAAGCTTATCAAAAAGGTAACTGAATATGTTTACTTTTTTAAAGCGATAAAAAACCTCACCTACGCATTTAACCTTGAAACTATGATTCCTAATC